ATATGGGGTCTTCTCTGGTTCCATACAAAGCATAACATTATTTTTTCTATATCTGTGAAAAATGATGATGGTATTTTGATAGGGATTATGATGACTCTGTAGGTCACTTTGGGTAGTATAGACATTTAACAATGTTGATTCTGCCAACCCATGAGCATGGTATATTCTTCCATCTGTTTACATCCTCTGCTATTTCCTTCTTCAGTGTTTCATAGTTCTCCTTGTAGAGGTTGTTTACCTCCTTAGTTAAGTATATTCCAAGGTACTTTATTTTCTTTGTTGTTATTTTGAAGGGAATTGAGTCTTTGATTTGGTTCTCACTTTTACTGTTGTTGGCGTAACTTTTACTATTGAATGCCTCTGATTTCTGTGTATTGATTTTGTATCCTGAGACTTTACCGAATTCATTTATCATATCAAGGAGTCTCATGGTTGAATCCTTGGGGTTTTCTAGGTATAATATCATGTCATCAGCAAAAAGTGAGAGTTTGATCTTTTTTGCTCCCAATTTACAGCTCTGTCATGTGCTTGCTCTCTCACTTTCTCCTTCTGTTAAATAGGGTTATTAGTAAAATTTCCTCCATCACTTTGGGAGTTAGGAGGATAAAGAGAGGTGATGGGCATGGAACTCTTAGCACAAAATAAGTACCCAGTAATTGATAACTATGATTATTTAAAAAAGTTATGATTATAAAAATAGCAGAGGATACTACAGTAGCACAGACAAGATGGACTCAATCTCAGCCTGTGAGCATCTAGGAGGGCTTCCTGAAGGAGGTGACCCTGGGCTGAACCTTGGAGGATAAAGATTCATTTGAGGAAGAGTTGAGAGAAGTAGAGATTGATTCAAAGGAGAAGTGGATGTAACTGCAAGAGTCACCGAAACTCCATCTCCTCTCAACCTCTTCCTCCTCCCGGAAGGCTTCCTGAAGTGCACACTAACCAGAGAGCATGCAGCCCTCAAGACAGTGGGGTGAAATTTGTCAGCAGGTCATGGGGCTTCCGTGGCCAACATGGAGTAGGGGGGAGAGGGGCAGATTTTATTTCCTAAGAGCATCTGCTCGGTCCCACCTCCCCTAGCAGGGTGCAAGCTTCCAGGGGCAGGGCCCAGACCTTCCCTCACCCGGTCTGCTGTGCTCGGCACAGCAGCCAGAACACACAGGTTCCTGTCAATCAGGGACAGACTGCTGGGATGACTTGGGACAGATCACAATGGTGATTCCTCTCAACAAGCTTGCAGGCAGATGCTGGGACCTGCTTCAGAAAGACCCACTGTGCGAAGTGGCAGTGCAGCCACCACCCTATTGGTGGTCTAGCTCAGGGTAAAGACAAGGCTCCTGTTGTTTTGCACACACATCCCCGTGTAGTCCTCATCACAGCCCTGCGCCATGGGACTGTTTCCCGCTGTGCAGAGGAGCAGGGGGTCACGGTCAAGGCCAGCCAAGTGCAGGTGGGGCTGGAGGCTCGGCCGCCTGCTCAAAGCTCTTCCTGCCAGACGCTGCTGCTGTGCTTCTAGAGCGAGGGGCACAGGAGGTGACTGCAGAGTCCCAGGGGGTGGGGCTGGGGGCAAAGGAGCAGGCAGGAAGAGGCCCATGGAAACTCCTTCCTGCCCGGAATCCCTTCCCAGGGCCAGTGTGGGGTGGGGGTAGCCAGCAGGCTCTCCAGGAGCCTTGAGATGTAACCGAAGGAGAACCAGGCACGGAGTCAGAGATGTGTGCAAATCTCAGAGTGCCTCCAAATAGCCAAGTGACCATGGGTTCCATGTAACTGAGGCTCGGTTTCCTCACTCTTAAACATGGGCTTAATAGCAACTATCTCTTTCATCTGGAAGGATAAAAACTAGAATGTATGCAAATGCTTGATGAGCCTTAAGATGCCACAGATGTCGCGGGGCTAGGCACGCCACAGGTGTTTGGCAAACGTTGCTGAATGACTATTAAATAGCCAATTAGCTGTATACCAGTGGCTCCTGGTGCCTGATCTATCCCCTCACAAGATCACCTGCTCACGCGGGTATGGACTTTACAAGCACTTAGCTGATGGGCTTCATAGACGCCTGGGGGGTGTGAGAGAACATGCTCTCCACTGTGCCAGGGAGGAATCGAGGCCCTGAAAGACTCATGCAAGGTCTCAGGGCTGGCAGGTGAAGGGGCTGCACACCTGGCTGTGAGTTAAGGCTCTTTGTACCTGCTCCTGGGTAGAAAGAAGAGAGCCTGAGGTCACCCCCATGCTCCCTGGCAAGGTCATAGGTCACGAGGGTCACACAGCCTGAATGAAGAGGAGGGAAGGGTCAACAGTACCTTTCATCCAAACAGCCATGTTCACCCTCTGCTCCATGCGGCCAGCGCTGTGAAGGCACCTGCACTGTAGTCACCTCTGTGCTTACCTGGGTCCCTGTGAGCCTTTAATGCCAGGGCTTTGGTGCTGCTCTTTTCTGGATCCTGTACACCTTGCCCAGTGCCTGGCATATAGATATTCCATACACACTTGGTGAATGAATGAATGAATGAATGAATGAATGAGTGAATGACCATTAATTGAGCAAATGACCATATTTGCAAAAAGTTCCACCTTTGAGATGCTTTTTGTCTGGAGAGGGAAGCACAGACATATACTCCACGCTCAGGAAAACGCAGCAAAGAGCTACAGGATCGGGCCAGCTTCTTGCGGAGGAGCCTGGGCTGGCTGTTTTGCAGGGGGGTGGGAGGGCTGGTTAGGCGCGGGCAGCACCTGAGCTGCAGAGATGGTGGGCCCAGAGCAGAGCCAGCTTCCCGGGTGACCACCTGGGCGGTCACGGAGGGGCCCCACACTCAGAAGAGCCCAGCACCTGGTCTCGTGCTCTGCTGCTGCCTTCTTGACGTTCTTAATAACTTTTGAACGAGGGCCCCACATGCTCATTTTGCCCTGCGTCCTGCAGAGCATGGAGCTGTCCTTGGAAGAGAGGAGAGGCGTGGTGTGGCACCTTCCGTCTTTCCTTCTGATACTTCTGGAGAGGCACGCGTGTGCAGAGTCTGTGTTTCCAAATGGGTACTCACTCCCCTTTAAAGCCAGGGTCATGTCCAAGGTTCCTGGAAGCCCCCAGGGAAGGGTCAGGAGTAGAGTGTGGTGAGTGAGATTCTCTCTTCAGGTATAAATATTAAAAAGGCACAAAAAATTCAATAATCGACATAAGTAATATTTTAATGTATTATTTTAAAATCAAAATTAATGCCCAAACTCCATAATATGCAAAATATAAAAGTTTTATATTTATAGGATCGATAACATAGCTGTGCTGAGCCATACTGGAGCCCAAGGCAGAAGGAAAATGTGCGTCTCTCTAAATGTGTTTTCACATTTTTGGTTTACTTTTTGGTTTTTTGGGGTTTTTTTTGAGACAGAGTCTTACGCTGTCCCCTGAGCTAGAGTGCAGTGGTGTCAGCCTAGCTCACAGCAACCTCAAACTCCTGGTTGGGCTCAAGAGATCCTCCTGCCTCAGCCTCCCGAGTAGCTGGGACTAGAGGTTCATGCCACCACATCCAGCTAATTTTTTCTATTTTTAGCAGAGATGGGGGCTTGCTTTTGCTCAGGCTGGTCTCGAACTCTTTATCTCAAGCGATCCTCCTGCCTTGGCCTTCCAGAGTGATAGAATTATAGGTGTGAGCCACTGCACCAGGCCTTTATATAGTTTTTAATTATTATTTTTTCTCCCAGAACATTAACACAGTTGCAAAAATACATTGAAAGATTGAAAATTAAGTGTATTAAAATCACAACATTATTTTAAGTTTAAATATTTTATTTTATTGATATCCCAAACAGAATTAAACATAATTTTACTTTCCTGGCTTTAATGGAAGAAAGATCATTGGTAATATTTCCAAAAATCTATTTCTTTGCTAATCTCATTTTCTTTTTTTTTTTTTTTATTTAAGACAACATGTTGTGTCCCACTAATCTCATTTTCCATTTCAATTGAGAGAATTGCCATGTTTGGCAATTTCTCTTGCCCAAGGAACAATCTTAAAGGGTTTTTAATTAACTTTGGCCTATTGATCCTATCTTTCTTTAAATTTAATACTTTATTCATCATAGGAGGTTTTTTGGCATTCATTTTGATTTTTACAAATAATGCATTAAGATATTTATTTCTCAGGAGTTATTTTTTAATGGGTACAGAATTTCTCTTTGGGAAGATGCAGAAGTTCTGGAAATGGATAGTGGTGGTTTCACTACATTGTGAACGTCCTTAATGCCACTGAATTGTACACTTAAAAATGGTTAAATTGGCAAATTTATAGTATGCATATTTTACCACTATATATAACTTCTCTTGATTCCTGAGTTTGCTGGCACCCTCTTACATTTTGTGCCTAAGGCAGGGGCCTCACCCTTCTCACCCTATTCCCAGCCCTGGCCAAGATGCTGAGGGCCCTGGTGCAAAACTGAGGCCCCATCAGCATGTGTAGTGTTGGAGACAAAAGAGGGAAAAGATTCTAAATTTGAGCTGAAAGGTGGGTAACAGTTTAAAAAGGCTGAGAGGAGAGTGGCTAGATTTAATCAGTGCCCAAGCTTCAAATGAAAAATAGAAAAAAAAAAAAATAAAGTGTTAGAAGAAGGAGGGCCCTCATTTTCACAGGGAAGAAACATAAAGCATATGAGGTGGGGATGATTCCAACTTGTAACAATAGTAACCTGTTAATGATAAGTGTTTATTGAGCACAACTCTGTGCCAGAAGATATGCCAGTGTTGCACTTGCAGTCTCTTACTTAATTCTCACAACACTTAATGGAGTGGGAGATGCACATGATCCTCATCTGCACACAGGTAACAGGCACAAGGAGATTAAGAAAATTGCATAAGATCACGCCACTCGTGAGTAGTAGGGGACAAGTTAGAAGCCAGGTCCTTGTGACTCAAGAATGCATGCTCTCGACTTCTGCGCTGTATCGCCTCTCATACCAACGCTGGCTACCAGTTATAAAGTGGCCACTTTCCAACAGAATCACGGCTCTTTTCATTCTTTCAGTCAATTTATTCACTCATTCATCCAATAAACACATACTGGCTCTGAGCTGGGCACCCTAGGGAAATATGAAGGTGATTTACCCAAGGTCTTGACCTCAGAGGGCTTGAAGTCAAGTCCAATAGGAGGTACGAGACATGAGGACATCTGGCTGTGCTAAAAGGAAGAAATGTGCAGGGCAAAGCACTGTTCAGCCTTGAAACTGGAGAAGTCATCCAGGAGGTGGTGGCCTTGCTGCCCGTTCTGGAAGCCTGGGCAGGCTAGGGGCGCCCATGATCCCATAGGCTCACGTAGCTGAGAACATTTTGCCTGCAGATAAAGGGGATCACGTGGGATTTGGCAGGAGCACTGGATCCAGAGTCCTGGGCCCTGGGCTCTGGTCTCCTCTCAGCCTCTAGCTCTGAGACCTTGGGCAATGTCCCTACCAGTCCTCGGAAACAAAGACCAGGCTGGACTCCATGTGACTAGCTTCCGCTCAGAAAAGGAAAGGAGAAAACATACATCAAATGTCCAACAGATGTGTCAGAGAGTAAAATATTTGGAATCTGGAGATGAAAACAACAGCAAGTAATTATAAAAAGGTATGGAAAATTGCCCGGCGAGGGGGGACTGGATACGTTGGAGCTGGTGACTGTGCTCTGTTCCCTCCCAACGGTTCAGTGGAGCTTAAATACTTGCTCAGTATTTATTTTGAATAAATTCCTTGAACATATTAGTGGGTCCCCTTGATTATAAGAATAACAAACTAAGTCACTGCGTCATCGAGAGAGGCCCTTAACCACTGAAGGGCCCATCGCTATCCCCAGTGCTCTACAGCTGGAGAGACGGGCGGGTGCTTGTGACCGGCAGCCCCTGCTCAGGAGGCACCTGGGCTGCGCGCAGGCCTCGCGCTCACCTGCCCGGGAGGAGCGCGGGAATTCCTGCGGACACGCTGCGGCTGTTCGGCGCTTTGCAGGCATCGCAGCCCCAGCCGACCCCCTGAAGAGCCGGGCGGCTGAGGGAGGATGAGAGAAGTTCAGCGCTGCCCCACCAGGCCTCGGGGACAGCTGGACCAGCATTCGGGGGGAACGGCAGCTCCGGGCCTCACGGACATCCCCAGCTGTTGAGAACTGAGTGTCTGCTCTGACTGTCTCTGCCGGGCCGCCATCTTGGTGCCTCTGAACAGCCGCGTGCAGATAGGCGGAGAGGGAGCCTGTAGGATCAGCCAATCACCTTCAGCAGACTCGTAGACGTCCGTCCCTGGTCCAATCAGGTAAGGCCTAGGGGGAAAAAATTGTGTGGTTCTCCGCCTGTGAGGGTAAGGCGCCTGCCCCTGGTCCAATCAGGTAAGGCCCAGGGGAAAACAGTGGGTGGTTCTCCGCCTGTGAGGGTAAGGTGCCTGCCCCTGGTCCAATCAGGTAAGGCCCAGGGGAAAACAGTGGGTGGTTCTCCGCCTGTGAGGGTAAGGCGCCTGCCCCTGGTCCAATCATGTAAGGCCCAGGGGAAAACAGTGGGTGGTTCTCCGCCTGTGAGGGTAAGGTGCCTGCCCCTGGTCCAATCAGGTAAGGCCTATGGGAAAACAGTGGGTGGTTCTCTGCCTATGAGGGTGAGGCACCTGCTCCTGGTCCAATCAGGTAAGGCCTATGGGAAAACATTGTGTGGTTCTCTGCCTATGAGGGTGAAGCACCTGCTCCTGGTCCAATCAGGTAAGGCCTATGGGAAAACAGTGGGTGGTTCTCCGCCTGTGAGGGTAAGGCGCCTGCTCCTGGTCCAATAAGGTAAGGCCTATGGGAAAACAGTGGGTGGTTCTCCGCCTGTGAGGGTGAGGCACCTGCTCCTGGTCCAATAAGGTAAGGCCTATGGGAAAACATTGTGTGGTTCTCTGCCTATGAGGGTGAGGCACCTGCTCCTGGTCCAATCAGGTAAGGCCTAGGGGAAAACAGTGGGTGGTTCTCCGCCTATGAGGGTGAGGCACCTGCTCCTGGTCCAAAGTGAAAAACGTCAGGTGGTTCTCTGCCTATGAGGGTGACGCTCCTGCCCCTGGTCCAATCAGGTAAGGCCTTGGTGAAAACCATGGGTGGTTCTCTGCAGAGGACTGCAAGTTGCAGGCACTCCTCAACAACTCCAGAGGAAGTTGTTTTTGGTAGCTTCCTTTCCTGGAGAAACGAGAATTAGAGAAAAGCCGGGAAGAGCATCCTGGGCTTTATCTAAATAATATTACGATAACAATGAGGAGGAGAAGGAGAGGAACAGTCTGCACATTTATTGAACTCCTGCTGGGTCCAGGCGCTGGGGTTCGCATGCCCTGTCTTACTTGATTTACAAGACTCTGCTGGCTTCAACCATTTGCCCCTCCACATCCTCTCCTTGCCCTCCCCGCACCCCAGCTCCCGGCTGGCTGACCTCACGGGACCACATAGCCAGGCCTCCCCTGTCTCTGGCCCCTTGTGGGGCTCAGCCATAGAAAGCACCTGTGGGAGGCAGGGGAGCGGGGAGGGAGAGACACCTACTGCAGAACTGGCTGGGCCCTACGGTGGGTTACCCTTCTCTGAAGGTGGCTGGCTCCATAGGACTTTCTTCTTTGGGATCCTAGTACTGTCCCTCCTGCCTTCCCCCATCACCCCTGTTTCTTAGGGCCTGGAGTCGTTACAGCTGGCTGTAACCAGCCACTTTGTAAATAGACCCTGTGTATATAAACTCTTTTTTGAATAGTCCTAGAATTATCCTATTTCAAAATTGCCAACTGCTTCCTGCCAGGGCTGGACTGATTGCTCTACCCCACGGGGTAGATGCTATACTCTTCCCCCTTTGCACGGATTGGGAAGTCAACACTTACATAGGTAAGGGATTTGCCCAATGTCACAGGACATACATGACGGTGAGAATCCAAACCCTGGTCTGTGTGATGTCAAAGCCAAGCTCTTCGTCATAAGAGGAGCCCTGCCACACGGGCAGAGTGGAATCCCTGCCCAGACCTCTGTGGCACGTCCCACAGCAGGGAGACACCCCTGGTGCGATGGCTGGAGAGGAGCGGGGAGAGGTTGAGTGGCACAGGCCGAGTTCTGGAAGGAGTATTAACCCTCTGAGCCTCAACAGGGAGTCTGCACAGATGAAGAGCGTGGAAAGGACTTTATATAAATAACAGACTGAGGAGCAAAGGGAGAGGGCAGGGAGCGAGCCGAGGGACAGCGGGGAAGGAAACGGGGAGCAGAGAAGAAATACAGTTTTGGCTGCAGACACTCAAGAATGTTCCAGGAGACAGATGAAGGGGGAAGGACAGAGCCCGACAAGTTAAGACTGGACTTTGCTCGGATTATGTCGGAGAGGAAAGAAGAGGACGAGAGGTGCTGGGGAAGCTCCAGGGTTACCTCTAAGATGCTGCTATTGACAGGGGGGGAAATTGAGGATTTGGAGGCCCGGTGGAATTGTCCCAGAGGTGGGGTCAAAAAGCGCCGCGCCAAAGGACTGCGCATCTGCAGCAGATGGCTGGGAGCCACCCGAAGCAAGTAAGGGCTCTGAGGACCGTGGGAAGAGCTGTTTCCAGTCCCTGCTGGAGGGAAGAGGGGTGCTGTGACCACCGAGCTATGGGCACCAGGAAGGACAGATTGCAAGACAGGCGGGGCCCCGTATGAAACTCAGGCTGCAGAAGGCTCTGAATTGCCCAAATATCCCAGGGTGGCTGAGGGGGTCGTGTGAGTGGTGAGGGTGGGTGGGGGGAAGGGAGGATGATGCAGAAGACTCAGAAATTGGGAAGAGAAATCTAATTGCTTGGAGGCAGGAGAAAAAAAGAGAATTTGGGAAAAGGAAAGAAATGAGAATAAAACCAGGGCTATCTTTCAACCTTTACGATTGTTATGGGTTGAATTGTGCACCCCAGAAAGACATGTTGAAGTCCTAATCTTCAGTATCTCATCTCAGAATGGGACTTTATTTGGAGATAGGGTCTATGCAGAGGAAACCAAGTTAAAATGAGGTCATTTGCGTGGGCCTGCCCTACTCCAATAGGACTGTTGTCCTTATTAAAAGGGGAAATGGGGACACAGACACACGTAGAGGGAAGACCATGCGACGACACACAGTGACAAGATGGCCGTGTCAAAACGAAAGATTGACACCATGAAGCCACAAGCCGAGGAATGCCAAAGGTCACCGGTGATACCAGGAGTAGGGAGAGGCAAGGAAATATCCATTACGGATTTCAGGGAGAGCTTGGCCCTGCCGACACCTCGAGTTCGGACTGTTAGTCTGCAGAACTGTGAGGGAATACATTCCTGTTGTTTGAAGCCACCCAGTTTGTGGCGCTCTGTTGCAGCATCCCTGAAAAATTGAGACAACAGTTAGGAGAACAAGGGTCAGAAGGAAGGGACAGGCAATGCTCAGCATGGCCGACCTGGGCCCTGGGGGTAAGGTGGCCACGGGGAGTCCCCAGCCCTAGAAGAAAGGCCCCCAGAAACATTCCGACAGCAGCGGCGTCCTCTGCTGCAGTTTCCCACACGCCTCGTGCTGTTCCCTACACTCCTCATGCTGTTCCCTCTGCTGCAGTGAGCTTCCCCCACTTCTTCGCGGTGGAAATCCTCCACGTCCTCCAAGAGAGCTCCGGGGCTCTCTCCTCCATGAGATCTTTCTCCCTCCAGCCGACCTGAGACTTGGTCAGGATGTACCCACCTGTCCTTTCCTTTCCCAGTGCTGGATTTCGGGAAGTGCATCTCTGTGGCCTCACCTTACACCTGGCCGTCCATTTGTCCTGTCGTCTGCCCTCCTGTTGCTGCCTGCCGGGGCGGACTTGGTCCCCCCTGCCGCTCTGAACACCTAACACACCGCTAGGCACACGGGGGGAGGGGGACTAATACACAGGGGCTGGACTGAGCTGAATTCCTCACGTCACTTATGTAACATCGGGAGTGGGAAGCCCAGACAATGTTGTTTTTATACTTCTCCAAACTGCTTTAAGTGTCTCATTAAGTAATCGCGTGCTTAATATTGCTGGGAAATGGTCTCGAAATGCCAGAGTGGGAGAAAGCATTTTTCAGAGAACAGGAAATGATCCAATCTTTGCTCAAGTCTCCAGCTCGGTTCTAAATGGAGAAACAGAATATTCCCAAATCCATAAAAAAAAAAAAATGGATAGATAATACAGATGTTCCTTGCTATACAAAATAGATTACCCTGGCAATATTGGGTGTAAATCAAATTTTAAAAAAAATCAAATTACGTTGAAAATGCACCATGGGAATGTGCTTTTTAAGGGAATCCCGCAGTGAATTCCTTTGTAAATCAAAGAGACACTCATTCACTTGGTCATTCAGTCATTTATTTATTCCAGTGGCTCTTAGCCCTGGCCAAACATCGGTATCACCTGGGGAGCTTTTAAAAAATATGCTATACTGAGGTCCACCCCTAGAGATTATCTTTTAATTGGTCTGGGGCAGGGGCCCAAGCCTCAGTATTTTTAAAAACTCCCATAAGATTCTGATGTGTAGCGGGCTTGAGAACCACTGGTTTATTCAATAAACATTTATTAAGAACCCTCTAAGTCAGACCTGGGCTAAGTGACTCCTAATGAGGCACAGCTTGCTTCTCCCAGGAGTTTAGAATCTGGTGGCCAATACAGATACATTAACAGACAATTTCCCTTGCAATATGAAGTCTGGGACTAAAATATTGGTGTTTGTTTATTTTATAAGTTTAGATTTTTTCATATAGCTGATCGAGCTTTTTGTATTCATTGAGACACAATTAAAAAACACCTTCAGAATGATTTTATCTGATTTTAATATTGTGACCCAAGATCTCCTTGGGTTAGTATCTATTTGCCTTGTGTATCTTTCTCTATATTGTTACTTTTTATATTTCTGTGGCATCATAGTTTGAACATATCTCTTAAAATATCGTGTAATTAGATTTTCAGAAATTGAATCTGAAAAAAAAATCTCAATCTTTTAATCTATAAATTTGATCCCTTTATATTTGTTCATGTATTTGGGCTGATTTCTGCCATCTGGGCTCTGTGTTTTCTATTTATTATGATTTTCCACGGCTTCTCACTTTTCCTGCTTTGTAACACTAAGTCAACATCTTGATGACTTTCTTTCCCCCTTTTAATTGTTTGGAAGGTATATATTGTATTCTATTATAATTTTAGTTTTCAGCCTGACATTATTCAGCTTGTTTCTAAGTTTAAAAATATT